ATTTGGGATACATCCTCAGTAAAATTAAATAGAGTGCCGCTTTAGCCCAGAATGATGATGGTTAACGTGTTGTTTTTATCCTCAGATGGCTCACTGCCTCCTGCTTCTTGTTAGTAAGAAGTCAACTCCCCAAACTGGTGAGTCATAGCAAGACAATACAGAAATGCTGCATCAGCAAATGTTAGGCTCAGTGAACGAGTTCAGATGCCCGAAGCTAACCGTGTTAGCATCAGTGGGCTGAGCAGCGATTAGCAGAGCTATCAGCTGCTGGTGTAAAGTTAGATCTCTGTGAGATTGAAATAAATGTGTCATGTTTATGGTTAATGCGGTGATGCTACAATAAGAGTTGAACAAATCTTTTGTTTGATTTCCTTTAGACAAAGTCAAAACTATATAATTATTAGCACTTTTGCGCACAATGATTGGGAATTTTTGGACAATGGGGAATGGGCTCATTACAATTACAATGTATGGCTTAATTGCCATATCCCACACTAGAAATCTCCCCCGGGCCAGATTTTTGTCATGCCGGACTACTAATACTAATACCAACTGGTACTAAAGTCAACTCAAAAAATATCAGTAAAATTCTCCCAGTTTTCCCAAAGGAGTAAAATTTTCAGGATTTATCCCTTTAATTTGTTGCCTGATAGATATGAAAACAAATTCACACCCCCTGTGATTTTTGGGCAGGCTCAAAGAAAAGCATAAATTTCAAGATGAAAAAATCAAAGTTTTATTTGTCAGCGCAGACTCTTTGTGAAATGGTTTGTGACACTTCAGGTGCAGCATTCTTGCAGATTTGTCTTAATCAGGCTCACGAAGTTCATGCTGCTGACTGGTGAGTCACAGCATCAAATCGGACAACAATGAGATGTTTTGGCTGAAATTAAAACTGGAGAAATGTGAAGCAAAAATAACAAGAGAGCAGGACAGAAACATCAAACGTCTTACCTTTTGGCTTGTGTCAGCTAACATAAGACTCATTTATTATTGATGTAAAATCACATTTTAGGCCAACAAATGTGTTGAGCCTTCAGTGAACTTTGCTCCATACAAGCACATGAAAAATACACAAAGTCTTATTAATTCTGGTTTTGTCAGAGAACAAGGGTCACCCTAAGTTACGCCTTTTCATAAACATTGGCTTAACTTGTGGTTCAGTTCGGTATTTGCAGAGAACTGCATTTTCAGGGTGGATTGAAATCAGCATGAAAAAGAATTAAATGAAAACAATTTGAAACAAAAGTCTCTGGACCCTGCGCAGTATCTGAAATGAGGCCAGATATATTTTTTTTGTGTGAGCCAAAAAAAGGAGAAATTCTTCTTGATTTTGTTTTTGAAAATGCGCCACACTGTGTTTCTGTGATTGCAGCCATTCAGATGTAACCAGAGCTCTGATGAGTCCTTTTTATGTGCTGCTTCATGATTTTTCATAACAACATGAGAAGCTTTTGAGCTGCACATCACACACCCATATTGTGGATGACTGTATTTCCATATAAAATCAACTCTGAAATCAGAGAAATTACCATTTTCATGTGTGTGTGTGTGTGTGGGGGGGGGGGGGGGGGGGGGGTTGTGCTATGTCAGAATTTAAAAGCTAGTTTGTTGAAAAACAGTAAAGTTAGTTCTGAACTAAACATTCACTATAATCGGTTCAGGTTTGATCCACCCATAATAAAAAGCCTTAATTGTTAAGGTTTGACATTAGATTTTCTCAAAAAGTCAGAAAAAATTTTAACAAAACAAAACTGTTATTAATGTGTTCTCTGCAAACTAACCGGCTCCAGTAAAAAAATCAAGTCACGTCCAAATTGAGATTCTTATTTATAAAGATTTTGAAGGGTTGAAGTTTGGTTACTTGAGAAAGCATTTTCCAAACGTTTCCCATCTCATTCACTGCTCGTACTTTTTGTCTGTCAGTAGCTTCCATACTGTATCATTCTAGCAAGTGACGCTTGGACTTCCAGAGCACCCCATTACTTCGTCACATTCACGTTGCATTACAAAAGCTAACCATTAGCATTAGCAACTCTACAACATAGCAGAACTCCTCCAGGCTTGTGTTATTTGTAGAGATAAAACATCAGTGTTGCAAAATCAGTGGCTGAGTCGTGTTGCTGTTATCTAATCTGATGCAAGATGTCCAAATATAAGGAAAAAGACTCCAAACCCTGCATTGAGCTCCCCTCTGATGTGGCATTCTGCTAGTTACTGAAACAAGCACGTCGGAGCTTCAGCGATGCAAAGCAAACGGAGTGTGTTCCACCACTTTCTCCTCCAGCTGACTTTGTCATCCTGAAACAGGTGCACCAGAGCTTTTTTCCCCACAGTACGACTTAAAAGGCATTCATTCCTACATGAGACCACTGAAAACATATGTGAGTAAAGTTGGCCTTATCTTTGCAAAATACGACAACTGCTTCAATCTAAGTTAGTTGTGCCAAACAAACGAAAATATCTCAACAACTATACGTCAGATCTGCCATAGTATGACACTTTGAGTGAGAGCAGCTGTGGCTGAAGAGTTTCTTTGCATCTTATGTAAAGGTTGTGTCATTAAAGAATTAAACGGATACAGATAGTTTATATTTTACATATAAAGGTCAATATCGTCCCAAAATATCGAACAGCCCTAATTTGAACTAAAAACTCTAAATGCAAAATAACCAATTGCATAAATAACTAAATAATTTGTATAAAAACGACAAAATTAATGAAACAGAAAAGCAAAAACACAGAGTTTGGTAACTGTTGCTTTATTTTTATTGTTTTCTGAAAATTACACTTAATTAAACCATTTCCCTGACGGCAGTGTTGCATGTCAGAAAGAGGCAGAGCAATTGGAACTAATAACGACACTCTCTGCATTTGGTCATTTTTTATTAACCTAACTAAAATGAGATTAAACAAAGGGCAGAAGACGTGTCTCTTGATAGACCAAAAAGCCCTGACGGGCTCTTGTAATTAGATAAATCCTCCTGTGTTCAAATTAACCATTGGGTCTTCAGCTGCTGTTTACATTACACACACTAAATTGTCTTGGTCCTTGTATGAAAAAATAATCTTTGTTTTGCATTAAAAATACAACAAGCAAAGAAAATGTCAGAAAAGAAAGAGCTCTTTTAATAATTAATCAGCACATGAATAAGTGCGTCGAGATTCAGAATCATTTGCGCTGCTGCTGGAAGGAAAGAAGGCGAGACTGAATATGAAGAGGGGAAACTACCGAGTTACTCATGTGTGGACTAATTACTTTTTTTTTTGGGAAAATAAAAAAAGCGACTTACTTGTACGGCTTTAGTGTTTTTTTCCCCTTTTATTCAGGCAGCTGCAGCTGAGAACATGGCGTGAGGTTATGGAGACGTTGCCCACATCAAGGTTACGACATTAAATATTCATACCAGTTCGACAGAGCTCCCAACAAAAAGAAAAAAAGAGGAACTTACATTCACCAGGGCTTTCTCGAGATTTACAGCTCTTCTCAGCGATTTACCTCCAAGTTCTGAAAGTTTTCATGCAGCAGATCCACATTTCTGCTGTTGAAGTTTACCCTTCTGCCTGAAGCACTGAAGGGAAAATCTAAAGATTTTACGCAGCCGTCTCTGAGCCTCAGAAGATAAAACCTCTCCTGACTTTAGAATTAGCGGCTTACTTGCAGAAATGTCATTTCAGGTCAAATTTTCATGAGTGATTCAAGATAATTTAGCATTTTTTAAATTATTCTAATAATTAGTTTGTAGCATGAAAAAGTCATAAAACTCTAAAATAAATTTATTATGAATGTTATGTTAGATGACCTCTTAAAGATGTGGAACACTTAAAACAATGCTTTTCTGGTTGTAATCAGTCACATAGCCCCCTTCAGACAGGCCATGAAAAACGGAAATGTTCCGGACTCTTTCCGTAAGACCTTTGTGTCCGAATACAAACATCCGGATAACGTTTTCCGTAATTTAACCGGACGACGCCCCTAGTAACAGGTCCGGACTTGTTACGGACAAGGTGGCTGCTTCAGACTGGTGAGGTCGAGTTCCGGACAGGGAGGAGGGGGAGGAGGAGGGGACCGGGGGACGCTGTGCACACCTAGATAGCTCGCTGCTGTAGCATGCGGCGAACCATGGCAGCTCGCCTCCTACGGTACCGTCTAGACGCACGACGGAGCGCTTCACACCGCTTCCATGATTCCTTTAACCATCGAGCTTCATCATCCAGGTCTCTTATGCATCTTCGTGTGCGCAGAATTATGTTTAACATAAGTCCAAACCCCCCCAGACATCTGGAACTTTTCCCTGCTGTGTGAAGGCAGCCGAAAGGACAAGTTCCGGTACAAAAGTGGTGTGTCTGAAAACACAGCTCCAGTTAAAAACCAGACTGAATTGTCCACACATATTCCAGAATGTCTATCTGAAAAGGGCCCTAGAGTTTTTCATGCAGGCTGAACATGAAAATAGTCTCCTACGCCTATCTCCTGCATTAGCTTCTGACAGAAAAAAGATGGTGAAACTCTAGGATTTGAAAATCCTGACAGATCTACATCACAATGTCACTTAACATTCGTGGGCTCACCCATGTAGGCTCGCGTCGGGGAAGGCTGTTGTTGATTTGGCATCCAGGAAACAACAGAGAATGCCTCGATTAGAAGAAGCTAACTGTTAGCATTAGCAACACCACACACAGCAGAACTCCTCCAGGCTTGTGCTATTTATGAAGATAAAACATCAACATTGAAAAGCAAACTGAGTCAGCGGTTGAGTCACGTTGCTGTTAGCCAATCAGAGGTAAGATGTCTAAATATAAAGAAATAAGACTCCAAATCCTGGCGTCTAACATTACTTTCTCCTCCAGTACTTACAAGGCATTCATTTCTAGAGACCACAACAAATGTATTAAAAATATGAGCAAAGTTGACCTTTGACGCTGACTTCTGTAAACGAGGGGGTATCTTTTGTCTGTAAAATGCTCTGAATGACCTTCTTCTCTCTGTTCATCATTAGCTGGACAATCTGGACGAGCAGGCTGCACAGATCAGAAGAGAGCTAGATGGTCGTCTTCAGATGGCCGACCAGATTGCCAGGGTGAGTCAGCCTCTGTGGGGGGCGAGTGTCAGATTGTTTTTATTACGCTTTGTTATGCAGTTAATGTGCTGCTACTTTGGTCCAACTTGTATAAACATCAACATGAAGGCCTCCATTCATAAACCTCATGGAAACTTCCCTAAAGAAAATTGATTCATATGTGAAATTATTTTCCAGCCCTTTTATTCTTTTGCGCACATTTAGACTCTTTGTTGTATTTATTGATAATATAATTACAAACTTAAGGATAAACAATTATCTTTATGTTATGTTGAGCGCTCTGTTTCTACTGTTCTAACCTTTCCATAAATGTTGTAATGCTTCCATTTTACTTATTTTTAAGTATATTTATCAATTGAAAAGTCCTCCAATTTTTTTGTGACAAAGGTCAATTTGCACTTCTTATTGGAGCTAATTTTGTGCAGGGGAGGCTGTCTTTAGGAGTGTGTGAGCTAACTTGTGTGTCTCAAATATTGCAACATTCATCTGGAATAAATTTAGCTGTCATTTCATATTAGATGTAATTCCCAGTGTTCTCTTTTCAAACAACATTGGTGGAGTTCCATTAAAGACTACTGGCATTAAGCTGATAATCTATTTTCCTATATTTTAAGTATTAAACCCCATTTATGTTTCTTACGAGAGGTTGAACCACTATGTGAGTGACTAACCAAATAAGACAAACTTAAATAAGTGTAAATAAAAGCTTCATGGTTGAAAATAGTTTTATTAAACCTGCCAGAATTCCCATTTAAGGTGGCATTCCAGGAGTTTTCTTACCGGTACTTTAAAGGTGCATTATGTAGAAATTAAGTAAAATTACATCTTGTGGTAAAATGTGGTTACTGCAACCACTTTAAACACCTCAGGAGCTTTTTGTCGGCCGGCCGTCATGTTACATTTGTCTGCGCTGCAGCGTTAGCTCGCAGGAGACACGGCAACCTCACACTCACTGATGGTAAACAGTAGTTACATCCCTCCTTCCTTTGTTCTGAAAGGAGATAAACTGACAATCCCCGCAGACAGCTGGATATAAAATATGTTTCAGTGGAACCTTCCTTCTAAAATGACTCTTTTGGGATTTTCTCACTGTAAAATTCTCAATATACTCTTACATACTGCTCCTTTAAAAATGAGAAATTCCAACGTCTGAGAACAAATGAAATGCTAGCAGCTAGGACCATTAGCATATTAGCATAAATCAATATAAAGTAACATTTTGTTCCTTCTGGTTCGTGATGTTATGTGGGTATATGAGACAACTGATAGCTAAAATGAACAAGAACAACAAAAAATAAATAAAAATAAATAAATAAAAAATTTGCCTCTTCCAGTGTTGAAGAGTCAAATTATTTGGATACTTCCATATAAATGTATTGTGTGATGTACACTATTCTGCTCCAACACACCTGATTTCAGTGCAAATTTCCCCAATGGTGCTTAAGTTTGGATATCCACCAGAAAATGGCAGGAGAGTGGACCAGGAGTGGATTATTAGCCCTATAATTCCATTTTCTAAGTCACGTTTTCTGCTTTTTCCAACAGGGTGGTAAGTTTCCCAAATTTGTGTCTAAAGAAATGGAGGCCATGTACATCGAGGAATTGAAGTCATCGGTGAATCAACTGATGGCCAATCTGGAAAGCATGCCTGTGTCCAAGGGTGGGGAGTTTAAACTCCAAAAGCTGAAACGGGGACACAACACCTCCATCATCGACATGGGCCAGGAGGACGAGAACACACTTTCCAAATCCGACGTGGTCCTGTCCTTCAATCTGGAGGTACTGCGCAGCGCCATGAATGGCTCTAATACCCGTTCGTGTGACACTCTCCCTAACTGTGCAAAACTGCATCTGCCTGAGTGAGAGCTTTGAAACGAGAGCTGTTGTCAAATACGTCTTTGCTACCAGACTAAGAATAGAAGCAGACAGCACACCTGTTCAGGAGGAAGAGCAGACGCTGTGTGAGGAACACACATACACACACATGTGCACAAAAGCCTTTTTACCTGCTCCTTAACAGGAAATTTGACTCATCTTGTTATCAGCTTGTCTGGGATGAGCTAGCACCACTGAACACAGAGCGATCGCACCTCTCTCCATATGATGGGATGCTATTTCAGAATCAGCAAACACATGATGTGCAAAGACTGTGACCCTTCTGTTCAGCTAGTCTTCACAGAGATGGTGGGAACATATAAGAGCTGAAATTCTTTGTACAACAGAAATAATATGATATCTACATGAGGTGGACTCTGTTAGTGGTTTTTCTACAAGCGGTTTTCCATTTGAGCTGCCAGAATTCTTTCATTTTCCTTCTGATTAGGAAAATCTGTACCAAAAACAGAGAAACACAAGAAATATAATGGTGCTGATGGACATTGAGCTAATTTAAATGATGTGTAGACTACGATAATGTGTGTGAGAACATTTAAAATGCTGATTATATCCCTCAAAGAAAAACATCTGTTTGTAGCCACTCAAATGAAGAGGAGAGCAAAAAACAAATGTGCTCTGAGGTGACGGCCTGTGTGCAGTGTGTTACCAGGTGTGTGTGGTTGGAGAATGTTAGACAGTTAAGCAAGTGAGTTTGAAAGTAGAACACTGTTCTAAAAAAGAGCAAACTGCAAATAAGAGCGTATCCAACCTGAGTCAGGTCATTCGGGTCGGAGAGGGCCGTGTCTAAGTGGCACCATGTAAAACAATGACATAAACATGGAGGATTATTTGCTTCAAGTTCTAAAGTTTGTTTTAAATAATGAAAACACATTTTTAATATTTCCTGTGGTCGATAGTGTGATGTCGCCAAGGAGAGGAGGAGTAGATTGCGAAAAGGGAACGGCTAGAGCACTCACCCCTACTCCCCCTCCCCCCCTCCTGGAAGGAGCTGAGGGCCATGCCTCAGTACACATTAGTGATGGGAATTCCAGCTCTTTTTAGAGAGCTGGTTCTTTTGGCTCAGCTCACCAAAAAGAGACGGCTCTTTCGGCTCCCAAGTGGCTCCTCAGATTTTCTGTTGCGTAGAGTCCATTTATAACCAAAATAATGCAAAACTATATGTAAAATTATTTACTAATGTAAAAAAATACAATATATCAAATATTTATCATTTCTATGGATTTCATAACTGAACACTTTAAGAAATCTCCACTCTCCAACTGCTGGCGCTCATTTTCTCACCGTCTTCTTCGCACTCTCCTCTCTCTCGCTCGCCTTTTCCCTCCTCCTCATTCCCTCTCGTCTCCCTCCACCCGCATGTGCTCTGCTGTGTGTCTGAGTCTGATCCTCCCTCTTCCCCGCCCCTACTGCTCTGTGTGTGGACAGTCTGGACACGCAGTTACACATGTTGACCAATCGCCTGTAGCTTTCACCAAAGCAAGAGGGGAGGGGGGGAGGGGAGGGGACGGCTCCCAATGACGAGCCAGCTCCAGCAGTTCACTTCAAAGAGCCAGCTCTCAGAGCCGGTTTGTTCGTGACCGACACATCTCTAATACACATGCACGGGGAAACTCAGCAAAGATCAAACAATAGGCCAGTGTAGCGCAGGGTTGAACGCTACACTAATCACATGCTGCAATACACAAAAGATTAACCTCTTTTCATTCCCCTCCCTCCTCTTCCACAGGTAGCTTGAAAACTGACATCAAGTCAATGCAGGTTCAGTTAGCATTCAAGCTAGCCCTATATTAGCTTATGATAAATGTTGCACAAAACCTCCCTACTAATATATGTTTTATTTAAATAAAATAAAACATATATTAGCAATATATAGTGTGGTCTATCAAGAGACACGTCTCCTGCCCTTTGTTTAATCTCATTTTAGTTAGGTTAATAAAAAATGACCAAATGCAGAGAGTGTCGTTATTAGTTCCAATTGCTCTGCCTCTTTTCTTACAATTCTCTAAAATACAAAAAAATTACTGAGTACTTATCTGTTCAAATTTGCCAATAGCGTATTCTACCATTGACGTCATCATGCTAGTGCTACTAGGTGCTAGTGCTACTAGGTGCTGCTAGGTGCTAGTGCTGCTAGGTGTTAGTGCCGCTAGGTGTTAGTGCCGCTAGGTGCTAGTGCTACTAGGTGCTGCTACGTGCTAGTGCTGCTAGGTGTTAGTGCCGCTAGGTGCTAGTGCTACTAGATGTTAAGCCTGGTTTATGCTTCTCCGTCAGCTCTGCAAGGGACAGACACGCACGGATTGACGGAAGCGTTTTGCTCTCATACTTCTCCGTCTCCTGGAGAGTGTTGCAAAGCAATTGCCCGGCAGGACCACAGAGGGCGTAGCGCTGTTCTGTTGGATCATGTCATGTATCAGTCCAAGATAGTGTGTTTATATTGTGTTTTTTGTGTATATAAGAGACTTTTAACACGGACATATTTGTTTCTCATTCTCCCACCCCTTCATGCGCTCCCCACCTCTAAACCCATGTTTCCTGTCATTTTCCGTCCACAAATAAAACGCTTGCTGCACATTTTTTCACTCCTCCAGTCATGGGAGAATTAAACGTTCATATTTTTAGAGTTTTTTCGCGAGATATTCTTCAAGCTTCTCTGTGTCTGCCGCTAGTTGTCCTCGGCTCTCTTTGCAATGGCGGCGTTGTAAACAACAGCGGCATCCTGACCAATCACAAGCTTGCGTAATCCGTCTCGTTCGACGGATGTTTAAAAAAGTGGGCTCGACTCCGTACGTCCTTGCGTGCCCTACGCAAGGACGGATAATGGCGTTGCGTGTCTCCGCACTGACGCAGACGGAGAAGCATAAATCAGGCTTAAGTGCCTCTAGGTGTTAGTACCGCTAGGTGTTACTGCCGCTAGATGTTAGTGCTGCTAGGTGTTAGTGCTGCTAAGTGCTAGTGCTAGACCAACAAACTGCATTTATCAAAAACCTCTGGTGTCTTCCAGTGCCAATCCGTAATGCATGCTGGAAAGTAAAGCACCTTCTAGGGCCTAATCCCAATACTCTCACGTCCACCCTTGTGCCCTTCAGTTGCACGTTCCAGTCCAGGGGTGTGAGTTCGTAGTGTATCCCGATCCTGAAGTGTAGACGTTCACCAAGTCCCAGTATTACCCACAATCCATTGCTGCATGGAAATTTTGAGAAAAGGTAGAACTGAAATGCCTTTTCTGAAAATATGTATTTTGAAACGAAAGAAGCTCATTATAAAACGATTAATGATATTTATTCATGCTCTGGATGTTTTACACTAATACTTTTTGTGAATAGCAATGAATGTGAATTTTGTCAAGAAATAGTTTGTTTGAAAATTGTTAATAAACAAAATTAGCACAAATAGCGACCGGCATCACTGTCCCAATTCAGCAATTAATTGCAAACTTTTGTATTACGCACTCGAAGCCTTAGTGCACACTTCCTCCAAGTGCACTTCGCTGGAGACTAGGGGCATGGTGCGAGTATTGGGATTGGGTCTGGTTGTTTGACAACTCCCTCCTGCAGATACACAAACACGCATTAGTCAACACTCTAAACTTGCGTAAATGATTCGTTTTGCTGTAAATGCCAGGGGAGAGACATAAGGGAAATACAAATTCAAAAAGATTTCCTACTTTTTATCAACGAACAGGGTCACATAGTCAGATTTAAGCATTTTAGTTAATCATTTTAAAAAGCTTTTGAGCAGTTTCTATGTGCAGATCCACATTCACACATTTTGATGTCGGTTGATCCTCAAGTCCCAAATGAATCTTTAAAACCGTCGTATCAACGCGTGACATGAACACAGAGACAGCTAATAAAACAACTGGTGCCATGAGGACAGGGGAAAGTGATCTCTTCTCCTGCCAGCACATATTCAGCCTTCAGACTGTCCCGTTGAAATTCACAGTTGCCATTTTACAGTTTCTCTTGGCAAAGGGAGCGCTTCATTGTGGTTGCAGAGCTTTTAAAGAGTAGGTGTAAGACTTAATGTGGCAGATTATGTCTGCGAGCAGTCTCCAGGACTGGGAGATGCAGGCGCCCTGGGAGGACGGTTGCACTTTTCAAAGGCTCTTTCAGCTGAAGATCAGCCAGAATCAATTGTACAGTGAAGACAATAGCTACAAGTGAAACCAGCCATTGTGGCTGGGGTTTGTATTTCTGCTCTTGACCCTCTTTTTGTTCCCTAACCTGTCTCCAGAGATGAATCACTTCTCCTCTGCAACTCCCTGCTTCCCAGGTGGTGATCATGGAAGTGCAGGGGCTGAAATCCTTGGCTCCGAACAGGATTGTTTACTGCACCATGGAGGTGGAGGGAGGCCAGAAGCTCCAGACCGACCAAGCAGAGGCGTCCAAGCCAACGTGAGTCTGCACAGATGCACATTTTGTTTTCACATGCATTTATGTGAATGTAAACAATGTCGTTTGTAAAATTCACAGTCTACCACTTTCCCAACGTAACACACGGCCTCCAAATGTTCCTCAGGATCAAAAACAAACCTCCATTTCACAGGAGATAAACCTTAATGAAACATTTATTGTGGCTGTTTGCGTAAAAAAGCAACAGCTTTGTGGTTTTAATCACAGAAGAGGATGAGGTAGCAGCAAACAAAAAGGAACTCACCATGAGGCTGCTTTTGAAACTTTAAACCTCTGCCGATAAACTCTCCCACATCTCAGTGGTTCCTCAGTTGCAGGAACTCATTCCCAGCTCTCCTGTGATGTCTCCCAGGTGCTTTGTTTCCTCCCAAAAGGCACTTTGCATGTAAATGACAAAAGGGGCCGCTCAGTTGGGCCGGGCTTCAATTTATCAGTTCTCTTTCTTTCAAATCTCTTCTAATATTTGCTAAGAAGAACTGACACTCATATCCTAAAATAGCCCCATCACAGTCAATGTAAGAACACAACTCTGCTTTAAATTGAATCTCTTTTGGTTTTAAATGAAGTCCAAAAACATTTTCAACTGGATTACTCGTGGTTCAGCTCAATCCTACAGCTACAATTAGCGCCAGAACAAGAAAACAGGGCAGTTTAATTGGGTGAAGAAGTCATCTTTGTCCCAAAGAAGGCAAGGTTTACACATTTATGGTAATCTCAGCAAACAGACAGCCTCTTTCTAAATATAGTTGAACAGTTTTTCCTTTAACAAGCGGGTATGGTGCAGGACTCATTACAAAAGTGAACATTTTATGCAAATGTGAACTATTTTAAGGCCTGAATGTCTCCCCCGATCTCCCTAATTCAAGAGCCATTTTATGAAGAGAGAGAAGATGAAGGGACGTGAATGAGGGAAGGGATTAGAGGAGAACAAGGCGAGGGTAGTGTGTGTGTGTGTGTGTGTGTGTGTGTGTGTGTGTGTGTGTGTGTGTGTGTGTGTGTGTGTGTGTGTGTGTGTCATGTAGATGAAACTATTCAGTGACATTGTGGGAATGTGAGTTTTAACTTTGGGGATGAAATTGTAAATTGAAGAGGAAGAGGGCAAGTCGAGGTTGTGTATTAGGGTTAGTGGATGTTAGATGCTCTTAGCGACGGATACATGATGACTGGGTGAATTGCACTGCATGCACACACACACACACACACATCTTCAGACTGCTGCAGGTTACCCACATACATTAATTAAATGTGTTCAGCGACCGTGTCCTCAGTCTGACATTCAAATTACTCTTATGAATTTGCTTTTAACTCTGATGACACGACGACAGGGTTGATGTTAGCGTCTTTCTTCTTTACTGCTGTTTATTTTTTTGTCTATTTGACTTTGGTGTGTTTTGCTGAAAGAGCTGCTGGAGTGCAGAGCTGTCACGTCCATTATTAGAGCTTCCATGGAGCCACAAGGTCACCTTCATACCAGAACAATAGTTTCACAGGAAATCAACTCAACTTCTTCCTGTCATCCAGCCATTTCTTGGCTCCGCCTCTGTGCACTGCAGCTCATGGACATAATTTTGGGGGGGGGGGGGGGGACATGTCCCCCCCACTTTTTCCAAAGTCAAGTTTTGACCCCTACAATTTTTACCATCCAAAAACAATATTACGCTATATTAAATTGACACTGGTTGATCTCTAGGACCAAGCGAAAAACAACCGTTTGTGTTGAAGCCTGTTTCCCATTAGAGCATACTGTCAAGACCCCCCCCCCCCCCGTCCCCCCACTTCTAAAGTCCTGCCGCAGCTACAGCAGCTTTGTTAATATTGAGCTGCTTTTGAAGAAACATTTACAGCAGATTTTTATTGACTGAAACTTTAACGTATTTTTCCAGAAAAACCTGAGTGTGGTAGCCACAGATGGCAGCGCACGTGTGTTGAATATCATACAAAAGCTACGAGTGATGAAGCAGCCATTATTAGTTCTGAGGTGATTTCTCCCAAATGATCAGTTATCTGATTATTTTTGAGATAATATGTTTGTTTTCATTTCAAGAAGATCAGATGTGTCTTCTGGAGCTAGTTATGGTGCAAAAGTGAGTGGTTCCTGTGTTACACTCAGTTTAATTTAAAATCCTTTCGGATCCTGATTCAGTCACAGGGATGACTCTCCTGAGTTCTGATGAGTACCTCTTCTGTTTTAGTAATTATTGTGATGCACATTCTAATTATCATGAGGAAACCGACTTTACTCATTTAAAAACATGGAAATTTAAACTTGTTGTTGCATCATAATATGACAAATTATCTCAAGATAGCCTCATAAACGTCCTCTCAGCTTTTGTTTAGCTTTTCTTAATTCCCGCCTACAATGAGTCGTGTGTGTTCAGAGTGTGAATTTGTGCTGTGGCGTCTCCTCTAACAACCATAAAGCTTTCAGTTCTGGACTGTCAGTGTTGTTTTCACCTTGGATCAACACTGCAGCAATCCAATCACCTTTAGTGATGCCATATCCGCAAATAAAAATGTGCAGGAAGTTCATCATATTAGATCTGCCTGAATTCAAAGGCTGCAACATCTAAACTCATCTGTCTGATAATGTTTCTAAAGTTATGTGCTTTCTGAACACAGTTGTGTTATTCTCATCAATGTAGGCTGGGCTACGTGCATCTATACGCTATATATGTCGTCTTTTACATTAAAATAGCCAGTTATCAACCAGTTAATTTTGTTAAAGAGATACTTTGCAGCTTTTTCAGATTTTGAAATAATTTCCTTGAGCCAGTTTGTTCTAAATGACCCTTTGCAGAGTTAATGAAAGCCACCCAGCCCCTATCGCCCCCTGTGGCCAGAATATTCCACTTGTAACTGCAGACTGATGGGGCCGCTCTGTTGGGACTTAGAAAAAAACGAGCTGACCTTCCTGGTGCTGCAGTCTGGCTCCAGCACGTTTACTACATGTTTTAGATCATGAACACAGCTGATTTGTTTAATTAGAGATGAACCCTTCTCGTAGACACTAGGAAGGCTGGGAGACATTTCAGCTGTTAGACTGAGGTTTTAAAAAGTTTAACGCATAGCGAGGAGATTTTGCTTTTGGTTCTATAAACAGACACTAGTGGGGTGCTAAAAGCAATCCAAAACTGCCTAGTCCTCCTTTAAAAAATAAAATGTGTGTGTGTGTGTGTGTGTGTGTGTGTGTGTGTCTGCTCATACTGAGTCAGGTTCTGTTGGAGGTTTCTTCATGTCAAAAAGGAGGTTTGAGGTTGTAACCTCAGATTAGATTACTTAGATTTGCTGAGTTTTTGCTGTTTTAAAGTGCTTTAAAACAAAATGTTACCACTGAAGCTACCCGTCACACAGATTTTTTAACCAGGTAAACAGATGAAGTCACTGTGTGGGATCACTGCTCCATCATGCTGTCATGGAAGTTAAACCTCCGGAGTATGTTTTGTTTGTCTTTCAGCTGGGGAACCCAGGGGGACTTTACCACCACACACCCTTTGCCCGCTGTCAAGGTGAAACTGTTTACAGAGAGTACAGGCGTGTTGGCACTGGAGGACAAAGAACTGGGCAGGGTAAAACATTTGTTTATTTACACAATCACCCCGACCTCAACACAAATGTCAGAGGATGGCTTACAAGTCATGTGACTTTCACATAGGACTAGAACCAAACCACTTTGCTTTATATTGATTTTCCTATTTCTACTTTAAAATGTCTATTGGACAATAAAAACAGTCATTATATATATATATATATTTTAACTATTAAATAGAAGTTAAATGTTTCCTTTCATGCTACAATTTTAAATATTTTATTTTTGAAAAACGATGGACTTAAGTAGCCGTTTCTGACCAAAAGAAATAAATATATTATACCCAATCTCACACAATCTCATCCTGTCTGGTGCACACAAGATACACACTTTTGCCTACCCACTTCCCCTCAGGGGCTCCATGCTTTTGCAAGAGCAATAAGACGAGTATAAATTGACACTCGCCGCCCACAGTATATATGAATCAGACTTAATACAGCAGGACTTAAGGCATGGTGGTGGGCGATTTGAGGAGATAAAATTATGACGGATTAAAACATGCTAACTGTCTGCAAAAGCAGGTAGATGACAGAATGGTAACACACTTTCAGTAAGATAATTAAAGCCGTTGAATATTGAATTTTATCTGTATAAAATACAGAGAACAGAGCACATTCAGAAACTGTTTCTGGCCAGACTGTTTTAGATGTGACACACTATGAGCCTGGTCACGTCCTTCTCGATATTAGCGTGTGTTGCCAAAAGAAAGTAACTCACAATAAAGATGTTTACTTGATGATCATCTTTGCTCTATTAACATCTCTTCAGTTGGTGATTTTTACCACATTTATGTCCAATTTCAGCTGATATCAGATGCTAGCATATCTAGCACCTGTTAGGATAAAACAGCTAATGCTAAGCCTGTTGACTGACTTGTTACAGGAGAAATATCTTTTCATATTTCTGATGCTTAAGGGCCGCGTACTGGCATGAATTCAGCAATACAATACAATATAAATCACAATATGCATACCATACATTGCAACACTAAAGGCTAAACAATATTTGCATTTTTTGAGGCTATAATTGGAAAACTTAGGGCAGACGCTTCCGAGACACATCCAGTGTTATTCGAAGATCTTTATCCGTCAGAATGAACCTGATAAAAACTGCTGCCGACTAGCAGTTGCAGTTCAAATCGCACCACACAAAAGAAGCACAATGAACGTTTGCATGTAAACGCTCAATGAAAAACATGATAGTCTGCTTCTACATATCAATTCAGTATCACAACAGGAAATATATAAATATATTTCAAAATATCAATGTTTTCTTTCATCCCTAGTAAAAAGGTTTGTCACACAATATGTTTGGTGTTAAAGGGTTAAACGTGAAATAACACTTCTCCACTAAACTTTATGATGAACCACCAACACGTTTTATCCACTTCTCATTTCTTGTATTGGTGATCACTCCAGTTTGTTGTTATGATATAAAAATAAGGCTGATTCTCTCTCACACACGCATGCATGCACACACACACACACACACACACACACACACACACACACACACACACACACACACACACACACACACACACACACACACACACACACACACACACACACACACACACACACACACACACACACACACACACACACACACACACACACACACACATGCTTGACAGCAGACTTCCAGTTTGATTTAAATCACACTTGAATGAGTCAGACTCAAATGTCAGGGGAGCAGAAGCCCCAATGTGTTCTGTTGTCGGCATTTTCTTGCGTAAAAGTGACAGGTAGTTTTATAAGTAAGGGTGGCGTTGCAGGTCCGGGCAGCGGCGCCTCCGACGTCCCTGTAGTGGCGGTGACCTTGGCTTTGATGGGGCTCTTTGATCTCCCTCTGCGACAGAGTTGGCAGGAAAGCAGTCTTCCTCTGAAGCGCTTTAAGTCAGCAAAGAGAGATTAGGCCTCTTCTTCCTGGAGAGCAGAGCGGAGCACTGCTATCTTACTCCTCTGCGACTCACTTTATTATTTTTCTGGAAGCAAATGCACATAATCACCAGCCACTGCAAACACTCATTGGTGTTGCTGTGAATGCTTCAAAAAAGAAAGAAAATGCATCAGGACTTTTTTCATGTTGTGTTCTGCTTTGGAGCACAGGTCGTCCTCCACCCGACACCAAACAGCCCCAAACAGTCAGAGCTCCATAAGATGACCGTGACCAAGGCCTGTCCCGACCAGGACCTGAAGATCAAACTGGCTGTGCGTATGGACAAACCACAGAACATGAAACACTGCGGGTAAGAGAAGCAATGCCACTCAGGGATATGGTTATGTGGATTTCATTTTCCCTTGCAGCTCCTTGGCCTCATTTCTGTTCACGTGCTGTGGAAAAATACTGTCAAGTGCACTGCTCCCCCTGGTGGACACCAGTGGGTACTTAGAATTTTAAACTTAAAGGAGCCATTACATTTAAATTCTGTTCCAGCTGAGAGGATGTGAGTTGGGGTGGGACATATTTATTTGAGTTTATGTTATTGCTGACATGTTGTGTTTATTCCGCTCTGACAGGTATCTGTGGGCTTTTGGGAAGAATGTTTGGAAGCGCTGGAAGAAGCGTTTCTTTGTCCTTGTGCAGGTGAGCTGCTAATAAAAATGCACACAATTCCTGGAGTTATTGTGACAATTTATTTATCTCTTCAACAGGATTTAAAAATACTTTTTACACATTTCTGCTTTCAAGCTTTCAAGGTCCTTAAAGGCATGCAAAAGTTATGGCACTAGTTACTTTAAAGCTCGATTTTAATTAAAAATAGTGCACAAAGATAACGTTGAGAGCCAAAATCGAGACGTTTCTTCGTTTCTATGATAAAGGAAAAGTCATCTATTTGAATTTAATTCTAGGAAACTGCTGAAATATGTTTGAATACAAATAGCTTATGCCTATGAAAAAAGAAAAAAGTCATTTTAGTTTAGAAACATTTTTGATTACCGTATTTTCACGACCATAGGGCGCACCGTGTTATAGGGCGCAGCTTCAGTTATGGGTCTCTTTTTGGTATTTAACACATACAAAAGGCGCACCGGGTTATTGGGCGCGGCCACGGTAAAATGTACCGGTAAAACATCTGTGCGGGCTCAGGACTCGGAACATATCAGTGCAAACCAGACATTGTGAAAATTATAAACAGCCAAAAGCATGCTTCACTTTACTGGTCTAGTCCTGGTTTAGAGCGCACGTGCACTTCCTCATTGCGTGCGCTGACGGCTCGTGCTCTTCTTATGCGCTGATGCGCTGTGTTGAAGTTGTTTTGGGTATTTCCCTGCTGGCTTTAGTTATACACTGTAAAATCTGATTAGTTAACCCTACTTGTAAAAAAACATGCTAACTGATTGCACTTACAAAAATAAGTAAAGGTAAATGGCCTCAATTTGATATAGCGCCTTCTAGAGTCCTGGAACCCCTCAAGGCACATTACAACACAATCAGTCAGTCACCCATTCACACACACATTCACACACTGGTGGGGATGAGCTAAGACGTAGCCACAGCTGCCCTGGGGCGCACTAACAGAGGCGAGGCTGCCGATCACTGGCGCCACTGGTCCCTCCAACCACCAACAGGCAAGTGGGGTTAAGTGTCCTGCCCAAGGACACAACGACAGCGACAGACTGAGCGGGGCTCGAACGTGCAACCTTCCGATTACGGGACGAGCACTTAACTCCTGTGCCACCGTCGCCCTCAAGTACAAGGGAGTACGAGAAAAGGGGTTAAAGCCATTAATGCGCACAAAATGCTTTTAATTTTATTTTTCTATTTTCAGTTTAAGACTTCAAGAATGCACATTGCCAGCCACCTTTCAGGGTTTATTGCTGATATTATCTTTTGTTGAGACATGTAACAGATATTTGGGACAAGAAAATTTATGTAACACATATAATCTCAAAATATTACAGATCTGACAGGATTTGAGCATTTGAGCTCAGTGTCTGTAAACCTGATCCAGTTAGAGGCATGTTTTAGTGTTTTACAGCTCTGCCCTGCTCATACCTGTTTTGGCCGGCTACGATTTAACTATAAATATGATAAATATTTTTCTGTTTCAAATTTTGACTTACTTAAAAAGCATGACTCTGACCCACCAAAACAAAAAACAAAAAAAAAAAAATATATATATATATATATATATATATATATATATATAATAAAATAAAAACTTACATGCAAGATTTCTTGTTTTTAGAGAGAATTGCAATGATTAATGGGACAATCGTCTGATTTGTCTTTTCTGCTGCTCAGAAATGGTGCATTCATAAAGCAAATTCAAGACAAAAAAACTCAGAATTTTGATTTTCAGAAAATCTAAAACACTGAAACAGTTTGTGCTGAATGCTGTCCAATTCCAGTCACCAGATCTTTATGCTTCTTTCTAGTGAACGCTCTAAGAGGGCTCCATTGGAACCTCTGCAGCTCCCTAGCAGCATTCTGGCAGGCCAGTCACAGCTCTCTATTGGAGTTTCAGACCAACAGAGTGCTGTGATTGTCCAAAGAGTTCAAATAAAGGCAACTGGACTTCTTTGGTTGCTTGAAGATGTTTCGCTTCTCATCCGAGGAGCTTTGTCAATTCTAACTGGAATATGGGAGAGTCAAGCTTATAAGCTGTAGCTGTCTATTGTGGCCTTGACTGAAACTGTTTAGGAATGAGATTCAAAGCTGCAGTGTTGGTACTGGAAAGGTGAAATCTAAGCCCCCCCCACCACTATTTAAAGGGTGGAGGGCTCTGTCCAGAATGTGTACTATGTCATTTTCAAAAGTGTGTCACTTGTCCCTCAAGTGTAGGTGGACTGCAGAGTCTTGACCTGAAGAGGTGGCTCTCCTGTGTTGTGCCATGCGCTTGAGCATTTGTTGTTTAGTTTCCTCAGTGTAAAGATCTGACAAAGCTCCTTGGATGAGAAGCGAAACGTAACCAAAGAAGTCCGGTTGCCTTAATTTGAACCCTTTGGATTACCAGGACTTGGATGATTGAGAACCTTCACCAGCATAGTGCTATGACTGGTCCACAATGGTGGGCCAATCACAGCACTCTATCAGCTTTGTGGACCAATTAAGGCGCAGTATTGTTTTGGTGGGCGGGATGATGCAACAGATTGGAACAAGATGGTGATGATTGGTTGACTTTAAAATGTTATTTATGATGTATTTTTGCCTTGATTGTGTATCTTATGTGCTGTTTCTATTCCTGAAGTAGCTGACTTGTATCTTTTCTAGGTGAGTCAGTATACGTTTGCAATGTGCAGCTACAGAGAGAAAAAGTCTGAGCCACAGGAGCTTCTCCAGCTGGATGGATACACCGTGGACTACAGTGACCCTCAGCCAGGTCCGACAGCATAATGAGAAACAATAAAACTGCAGCTACACACATGACATAAATATTTAAGGACCTCTCCTCTAAATAACGCTCTTCTCCCTCAGGCCTGGATGGTGGCAGAGCCTTCTTTAATGCAGTGAAGGAGGGCGACACTGTGATCTTTGCCAGCGACGACGAGCAAGACCGCATCCTGTGGGTCCAGGCCATGTACCGCGCCACCGGCCAGTCCCACAAGCCCATCCCCCCTACTCAGGTCCAGAAACTAAACTCCAAAGGTGGCGCTTCAGCCCAAATGGATGCCCCCATCTCTCAGTTCTGTAAGTAACTCTAAGCAGCAACAACGTAGGCAGAGAGCAGTTTCCATCCACAAAATTGTGAAAACTCTAACCCATAAATGTGTCACGCCATGCGCTCCACGAAGTAAAACTAACACACAAGCACCCACTCACATGCATCGCTCGCTCACAGAGTCGTTCAGCATTGATGGACTTCCACTCATTCTCACCACTCCCTCTCCCCGCCCTCCCCACCCCTCCCCCTCAGCGCTTTAAGGTGCAATTCCATGCTATTCCATCCGTGGGCTTACAAAGAACAACCAACCTAAATAAGACTTCCTTGTGCAGAAGCAGAGTGTAAGGCTAAGCCTCTTCTACCTGTACAGCCAGCAGTAACTCTAGAGGGTGCTGTGATCCTTAGACACGTTCTCACGTACCCAACCAGACATGTTGAAGTTCTAATCCACCTGCCGTTGCACTTCTAAAGCAGCTTCCAGGTCAGGTAGCAAAGGGAAGGTAAGGCTGTTGAAGGAGTGTGGCGTCTGTACCAAGTTCTGTTGTAACTGTCTCTTGTGTCCCGCTTTGATTTAACCAGCAGTCTGTTTTTACTCTGGTTGTTTTTCTTAACCTTTTCTCAGTACTTTATCCCAACATTTAACACAACATAGTTCTATTAAAACTTTTTGTCTCACATCTAGAACAACAGTTTCCACTGATAGATCCTGCTATTCAGAACAAAACTTTTTGTGTGCATTTTTTTATTCGACTTTTTTCCACTGTTTAGGCTAAAAGCAACTGCAGTAAAGCTTCTTTTTTAAATTAAAAAGCAAAAGGAGAATAATAACTGGCACTAAAAAAGTCTCACCTTTGCAAAAACAAATCGATATATATATATTTTTTTTTTGGTCGCGTGCATAAAGCATAAATTGGTTCAGTTACTAAAAAATCTCGTCACATTAAAACTCTTTGTTGTTTCTCCATTGGTTTTTGTCCAGTATGTGATCGTTCTTGTGGTTAGTTGACTTCTCTGATGCCAGCTGTTGCCATTCAAAGCTTCTTCACAGCGGCACAGACCTCCCTCCCCCCCTCCCCACCACACGTTCATGTTTCACCCCCCCTGGTGGTCTTGAATGGCGATGGGACCATAACACATACACAACCCTCGTTACTCTGCTGCAGTGGAAGGATAGGAAGCTTCTGAGCATGCTCCGTAAAGCCATTTCTTCATTTAGAGTATCTGAAAAAATCTGGTGCATATTGCATAGTTCTGTTGTAAAGGGAATTATTGACGTTTATTGAATTTTTTTTTTATCTAGTTATTGGGATAAGCTTTCAGCTGCTCATTATAAATAAGCCAAAATGTGTCAGGTGGTAAAAACGGTTCACAAGCTTAAGACTTTATATTTCTTCTGTCTTCTGTTCATTTAGGCAAAGAATGCCAATTCTGCTGAGGGAGCTTCAAAAACCAAAATATGAAGACCATAATTTGACTGAATTTAACAGATGGATTACAGTACTTTATCAGTTTATTGCACTTTACAATATTTGAATCATATTTTAATGTTGGGTTTGTGTCTTCATTTGTAAGGCCAGTGGTAGTGGTGGGAATGTTTCTTATGGATGTGCTGTCGCTGCAGCCGCGGAGGCACATATGTAATATATTATAAAAACACAGATTTATCAGCTGAGTCATTTCATATGAAAGCTCTGTAACAGACTGGAGCACCAAGGCTCGCCTGATCCGTTTTTCCAATCAGCATGTCGGCCGGAAACTGCTTCCCACTCTCTCTTTGCTGACAAAAATGATAATTACTAATAATAAATTCCACACGACAAAATGCTCACAGATTGTCGGAAAGTTTAATGCCCTTTATTTCTGTGGCAACATTATAGAATGTGATGGGGATGTGATTTAGAAAGGTGTATCTGCCTTTTTAGAGATTTCACCACAATGTTTTTATTTTATTGCAAAAGATGAATGGATTTCAAACAAAATGAATAATTAATTTCAGTGAAATAGCCACAATTAACAATTTTACTGAGTTTGGCGTTGCATTTCAGCTACTTTCAAAGAGAAAACAGTGAAAACAACAATTTATGTTATGAAAACTCTTGATTTGCTTTAAAGTAAGAAATCTAAAATAAACCGTTGCAATAGTTATATAAAAGCAGCTACTGTAGAATTCCTGCTTTAGTTGCTGATGCAACTATCTTCAATAGTTTGATATTTGTGAATAATCTTTAGTTTTTAATGGAATGCTGCATTGATGTGGAAGTCCATTTAGTAATGTAGCTTTGTTAGAAAGCTAGCTAGTCATTTACAAAGGAACGTACATCAGCTGTTACTAGTAGAGCCCTGCATGGGCACATGCAGATGAACTGACGTTTTATTCTACGCACATCGCAGATGTAGCTAAATCACCCAAGCACAGATTCCCATCTGAACATCTGAGCTGGACACTGCTCAGCGCAGTTCGCTGTCAGCGCATATGTGCACAGCGAGCTGAAGATGTGGAGAGGGGCTTGGACCGCGTCGCAGAACCAGAGCGCATGCGGGAAGGTTCCTCCTACTGAAGCGAGTGTTTTCCAAACCCCGTCTCTCAGAGAGACTTGTCACTTAGGAAATGTTCCCTGATTATGAAACTTTGGCTGAATAGTGCTTGTTCCTGTCTCCAATGTGGCGACGCATCCAGGAGCCATCTGAGGATAATCCCAGAATCTCACATCCTCTTCAGCTGAGAAAGCGCCTGTGATTACGCACAAGCGTGACCCGTCAACCCGGTCTCACAGTAAGACTGGGTTGGACCTGTTCAGGTTTACGCAGACAATCTTTACATAGAATTGACTTACAGATATAAAATTAATTCAGTAAAATATAAAGCATTTTATTTAAATATCCATTAATTATTTTACAAGCACAGAGAGCCTCATCAGATTCAGATCAGCGGGAAGATTCCTCCGACTGAATTCAGTCGGAGGAATCTTCCCGCATGCGCTCTGGTTCTGCGATGCGCTCCAAGCCAATCTCCACATCTTCAGCTCGCTGTGTACCTTATGTAGTACATGCTGACAGTGAGCTGCGCTGAGCGGTGTCCAGCTCAGATGTTCAGATGGGAATCTTTTCTTGAGTGATATAGCTACATCTGTGATGTGCGTAACGAATAAAATGTCAGTTCGTCTGCATGCGTCGGGGTAATTCTTTCTATTCTTTCTCCGTCAAAATAAACGGTCAAATACGGGAACTATCCGGTCAACACAACACAAGCCCTGCTTTTGACTGTTTTGTTTTCTTGTGAAAATAGATCAAATTAAACTTGATTAACACCAGAGCCAGGCGCACTGCACCGTTATCTCCGTCACTGTAAATGAGGGAAAAACAAATTCCAATCCAATCCAATCCAATTTTATTTATAAAGCGCATTTACAAGGCATTACAACCAAACAAGGCGCTGTACACTAAAAATGTTGGTTAATTAAACCGGCGTTATACAAACATGTCGAACACAGATAAAAGATGAAAAGGAAATACAACAAAATTCCCAAAAATAACAGCTAAAAATCAATAAGACCCAGGGTGAATAAAAATTAGAAAAAACATTGTAAAAAGAACCTCAATAGTACAGAAGTCGATAATTGTGGAGTCCATTTTTAAACAGTGCAGATGTAAGTGAGGTCCATAATTATGTTGTATAAACTAGGTTGAAGTAGTGAGTTTTCAGGCGTGATTTAAAAATGCTAGCTGTTGGTGCTTGCCTCACTAGCAGTGGTAATGCGTTCCACAGCTTCGGTGCAAATTGATCGGATCCTTTTCTGACCTTCCCCACCTACAAAGTTTAATTACAACAATCAAACGTGACAGAGCCTGGATTTGTATTCTGAACAGGCTAAACATGTTTTAAAAAGAAACTTATGACAAAAGTGGCACCTGCTCAGTAAAACCACCAACAGGGTGAAAAATATCAAAATATTGTAGGCAGAGACGGGCTACAACTTCTGGATCCATTTCATATAAATTGTTTTATTGATTATCTTCTTATGAAAGATAACTTTGACGTACACGAGCGACCGGTACCGGCCGCTGTCACCTGTTGTCAGCAGCTCTCTGCTGTCTGAGGGTAGGCCCCGCCCACAACACCGCGGCTGCTGTGGCTCCCAGTGTTTTCTTTACTGTGGGAAACGGGTAATAATGGCTCTTTGATGGGAACAGGTTGCCGACCCCTGTTTTAAGTGTTTCAATTTTTTTTATGAATTTGATTAAAAATAAAGGCGCCCGGCCCGTGTCCGAGGTAATTACACAGTCGTTGGCCCGAAGCCCGGCCCGAGGGCTGTCGGGCCGGGCCGACCCGAGGGCCTAGGGCTTCAGTGCAGGGCTCTAGTTACTAGAGATGGGTACCTTTGACATTTGAATCGATTCGGTACTAATTCCCGGTACCTAGGAATCGATACAGTACTTAACGGTACCAATTTTCGATACTTTTGAGTGTTTAATATTTTAATTCTCTTTTATAATTAAATATATATTTTTCTCAATATATAACCATATTTGATAAATATCACGATAAATAACATACAACTGTTTGTATTTTAACATCGTCCTTGTAGTTTTATAAGCTGATAATTAAACTGAAGCAAACATCTTTACTGTGAATTAAATTTACTATCTCCATTCCTTTTGCCGTCTTTTTTCATTTGATTTGAGATATTTTAAATATTTGCACACAGATTAGGGTAACATCATTGATTACTTCCGTGGATAAATTCATTTATTTAACTGAATGTACAGTGTTTAAAAAAAGTCCAAGTTTGTGAAAAACAGAAACAGAATTAGTGATGACGAGGCGTTTTTTGCACATCAAAAAGAGGTCTGTGTTGAGTTTAACTTCACGCTGAATGTGCGTTTGCCAGTTTCCCTTTTCACAGAAAGTTTTGTATTTGATCTGAACAGAACTTAGCCTTCAAACTCTTTGCATCCAGAAAGCTGACTGCAGTGGAGTGACGAGGATGGCTCAGATTCCCTCCCTGTTTATTTCTTTTTCTCTGTC